ATTTTAAATTATGTTTATGCATAAAAAATTATTAATTATAAAAATTGTTGAGAATAATAGTATCACAATCACTTGATAACATAAATAACTTGTATCAAACTAAACAAAACATTAAAAGAGAGAAATTGTATAAACTCATAAAAGTTATCATAAATTTACTTGGGCTTTTAAATTAGTGGTGTATATTATTATTGTGGGATCAAATTATGAATAAATATCAACTTTTAATTATATTTTATAAGTAGTTTTTTAAAAAAATTTAATCTAAGTTTGGCCCTGTTTGGTAGGGCTTATTTTCTGCTTATTTCAGCTTTCAGCTTTTTTAAGCTTTTAGCTTAATTTAAGCTATTTTGATGTGTTTGGTTCAGTTTAACAATACAGCTTATAGCTTTTTGTAAGTCAAAAATCAACTTATTCTTTGAGTTGGGGGGGGGGAGAAGCTTAATTTATAAGTAAAAAATCAGCTTATGTTCATAGCTATAAGCTATAAGCTGTTAGGTTATAAGTTATAATCACTTTCTCACAGCTCTACCAAACAGGGCCTTTGTTGTCTTAGTCATAAAAAGAACTTCTCAAAGAAATCATTAATTGATTATGTTAGCAACTCTCTATCTTTGATTTCCTCTATCAATGACACATACATGTCATATCAAAGCATAAATCCTTCTTCATAGTTTGAATAATATTTGCATAGTTCCTACATCATTTTTTAAAAAATTAATCAAAATAAGAATTTCATAAGATTATAAAAATTATATAAGAAAATAGTTTTAATCCATTTTATTTATTAAAAAAAAAGTGATGAAAAATTATTTGAATTGTACTTGAAGAAATATAACAAATGATAGCTTTAAACATTATATACCCAAAAAAAAAAAAAAATTATATAGGTTACTCAACAAAAAAATGGTCAAATATAAATAAAGTAATGGACATTGAATTAAATTATATGGGCTGTAAATTGATAGTATAATCTAGCTAATTAACTAAGAATAACATAGAGATATAGACAAATATGTAGTACTTCCTTATCATCTTTGTATTATATTCATTAATTTTATATATCATATATAAGTTTTACTCGTTTTGATCATTCAATAAAATAAGGACCAAGAAAACAAGTTTGATAAGAAATTGATTCTAAACTTTATTATTACAAAAAAACAAAAATTTCAAAGAGAGAATTTAGAGATGGGATTGAAAAAATATTATAACAAATGAAAACCTTATAAAAAAGTAAAATAAAATAAAAAAACATAACAATGATCTAATGCAAATTATTTTTAATAACTAATAGAAAGAATATCAAATTATTACCTTGTATAAATATAATGACGAAAATTAATTTTGTGAGATTTTTGTGCTGTCTTCTCCCATGCAGCCTTTATTATTTTATTATTAATACTCGTCTTATTCATAGCCAACCAATTTCATTATTCAAAGCCAATAATTTTTTTTTAATCTTTATCACTCAGTAGATAATAACGAATAATAAAAATTATCAAGAGAAGATTAAGAATTTAATAGGAGATAAGAAATTATAGATAAAGACATTTCATAAGATAAAAAATTTAAAATAAAAAAAGATAATATGTGATAAAAGGAGAAAAAAATATGAGTAAATCGAAATAAAGATTTAGATATATATGTTTTTGATAGATATATAGATTAACAAATCATATCATTATCTAAATTTTATTATTTTAATTTTTTGTAAATCAATTATTTAATCTTTATCTCTATCTGTAGGCCACGAAATTAATCTTTATAAATTATTTATCAATTGTTATATGTTTATTTATCTATAAGTCATGAAATTAATTTTTTTTTGAATAATTTTTTTAATTTTTATCTTTATCTATAGGTCATGAAATAAAATTTCATAAATTATTTATGAATATTTATATGTTTATCTATAATGAAATTAATTAAAGTACAAAATGAAGGGGAAAAAAAGGACTAATTTCATTTTTTTTAAATCAATTATTTAATCTTTATTTATTATTTGTAGGCCATGAAATTAATTTTTATAAGTTATTTATCAACTTTTATATGTTTATTTATGGGAATAAATTTTAAATTACCTATAAGTTATGAAATTAATTGTTTAATATTAATCTTTATCTTTATTTGTAGGCCATGAAATTAATTTTTATAAGTTATTTATCAACTTTTATATGTTTATTTATGGGAAGAAGTTTTAAATTATCTATAAGTTATGAAATTAATAGCTTAATTTTTATCTTTAACTGTAGACTATAAAATTAATTTCAATTTTTATATGCTTATCTATATGCGGTAATTTTGAAATTCAAATCTTTATCCGTAAGCAATGAAATTAATTTTAATTTTAATTAATCAAACAAATAGAAAATGAATAAAAATAGAAAACATGAAAGACGGTCAAAGAAGGTTGCCACGTAGGAAATAAAGAGTTTTAAAATTACGAGAATTTAGGAATAAATATTTGGAGGTTTTTGACAAAACAACTATAATTAGTTACATATATGGTATAGATTAGATTGATGATTGGCCCAGTCCCAGTACTTAGTAATAAGAAAATGGAGAAATTTATTTTCTAAACTTATTTAAAATTTGAAATTTAACTAGCTTATGCTTAATAAATAGCTTGTATCTAATAGGATACGGCAAAAAAGAGTCTAGGAAGCTTGGTTGCAGCAATGAGTACAATGTCAAAGTCATGATCAAGCTTTTGGTTGCATATGAGGAGTCAAAATTTATTATTAGTGTTTTTCTTGTTCAAGTCGTTGGCGAAAATAGCTATGTTATCGATTTATCAATTGATGGAGGACTACAACACCACAAATTTTAATTAGGGATGACTTTCCTCCATTTATATTGGACTGGGATATTGTTGGACTTTCACGAACTTGTTAGGGAGGTTGTATTGATGATTCAAATTATTTAATGTGTAAAATTTATCAAATATTTTATTCTTATGAAAAATTATGCTCATCAGATATTGATAATCACTTCTTTTTTTTTTTTTTTTGGTAAATGAAGAGCACTGATTGGCAAAGGCAACGGTCTAACTATGGCTCTTTCTCTCTCTAATGTTTTGCTCTCCGAAGGCAACAACGGTAATCTCGAAGGTAAATCCTCCGAGGAAGAAGACCACCTGAAGCGCAGTACCAAGAAGATCAAAGAGTCAGTTGCTAGCGACGATGACACTATGTTGGATAACCCAACTCCTGTAATTCAAGCAGAGCCTTTGGATGGGGAGGTAGTTTCAGGTGTAAGTAAATTAGCAAAGCCGCCCACCAGATCTTTCAAAGATGCGCTTGTTGATAGACGCCTTAACGAGAGACCCTTTGATGAGGGTCTAGATGATCTATCGACGGATGATGAATTCGAAAGTGAAGGAGACAAAATAGAAGGAGAAGATGCCGATCATGAGATTGAATCCTTTGGGATACCACACATATCACTACCCAAGAAGCTTTTGGCAAAAATCAGGAGGCCATGGAAGAATTACCTTATAACTAAACTGATGGGCAAGAAGGTTGGGTACAAATTACTACTATTCAAAATCAAAAAGCTTTGGGATCTTGAAGGGGATTTCGAGACCATAGATCTGGATTCGGGATTCTTTCTTATTAAGTTCCAATTAAAGGAAGATTATACATATGTATATACTGGGGGTCCATGGATTGTCCTAGATCATTACCTAACGGTCAGAAAATGGAAACCAGACTTTAAACCAGCTGTGGCTGAAAAAATTCAAACTGCGCTTTGGGTGAGGTTTCCCCAGCTCCCCATAGAGTTTTACAATGAGAAGGTGCTTTTTCATATAGCAAAATCCTTGGGTAAGCCCTTGAAGATTGACCTTAATACGACGATGACAACGTGAGGAAAATATGCGAGAGTCTGCATTGAGATGGATCTCAAGAAACCTTTAATCTCACAGTTTTCAATTGGTAAGTATAATTATAGTGTTGAATATGAGCACTTACATTCATTTTGTTTTACCTGTGGTAGGGTAGGTCATTGGAGAGAGTGGTGTAGTAAGAAAGCTCCACCGCAGGTTCCAAGCCCTTCCTCCGGTGATCAGAACAATAAGGCTATGACCGTTGAAGAGGACGACAAGAGCAGAGAGGGCCTAAGCCCAAGTCTTCTAGTTCTTAATTCAGACCCCAAGGATCCACTAGGAGAGAGTTTTGGGCCTTGGATGCTTGTAGACAGAGAGGGTAAGAAAAAAGTCAACAAAGGCCAAATAAATGGGCCTAATAATAGAACCCATGGGAATGGAGGTCAGAAGCCCAAAGGGGTTATAGTGTCTAAATTTAATGGGAATAAGCCCTCCACTTCAGCCCAAGGTGGGGCGAGACAAAGCCAGAAGGGTTGTGCTGATCCTTGTCACACCAATGTACCTGTGAGGCACTCTAAACCAAGAAACCCATGTGATGGTCTGAAAAGTAACATCATGAATGCTAGAGGTGTTGTTTTGAATACTAGCCCTAACCCTTTTGCCAGTCTATAGACTCTGGACCATATCAGTGAGAAAGTTAGCTGTATCACTCCATATGACATCTGTAATGGAGAGGTTGAGAAAGAGAACTCTTCTCAGGTTCTGAAGTCTTCATCTGCTAGTGCTCCTTTTCAACCCCATTCTCATCCTCCTGATCCAGGTAACACATCCCCCCCATCTCCAGTTATACTTAATATCCCTTCCACCCTCCCTGAAAATCTAGTACTGAGTGTTCATGGAAGTCCAAGATGTGATCCAGCACCGGGTCAGTTGCAATCAAATGTACATAGCAATCAACCTAGAGAGCGAAGCTACTCACCTAATCGCAATAGAGTGGTGGATAGAAGAAGCTTGGGTAACGACAGATCTCGACATGATGAGCTACAAGACTTCAAACCACAGCATTTTGATAGGCTCAACAAGAGCAATGGTGAACGATCGACTACGAGTTAGGAAGATTCTACGGACCCCTGATTTTAGTCCGCTGCCGCAGTACCCTAATTCATCATCTATGAAGATGCTAGTGTGGAATTGTCAAGGAGCCGGTAACAGTGTGTTTAAGTGTACTTTGCACAAGCTTTTGAAAAGCCATAATCCATCCATCATTGTTCTTATGGAGACCAAGGTTCAACTCAGTTCAATGGGCCTCTTTTTCAACAATCTGGGATTTATTGCCTGTACATACGTTGACTCGGTGGGTAAGTGTGGAGGCATATGGCTCCTTTGGAACCCTTTCAAAGTAACTGTTATGGCCTTGGAAGCTAATCCTCAAGTTATTCACGCCAAAATCAAATGTGACCATTTTCCTGATTGGATACTTTCGACGGTTTACACTAGCCCCAACCCCAGAAACCGTGACATTTTGTGGGATAATTTAGAATCAATGGCAGATAACATGTCTGAACCTTGGTTGGCTGTTGGTGATTTTAATGACTTTGCTAGTCAAAACGAAAAAAGGAGCTTTGTGCCTTCACATAGCCATGCCAGAACCAGGAAGTTTGCTGCCAGGTTGAATCGTTGTAATCTTATGGATTTGGGTTATTCAAGACCTAACCTTACCTGGACTAATGGGCGGTAGGGTTTGGCTAACACTCTTGAAAGATTAGATCGTGCAGCTTGTAATACTGAATGGAGAGTTATTTTTCAAGAAGGGGCAGTTAGAAACCTTCCCACAACATATTCCGATCATTGTCCAATGATTGTTTACACTAAAGGTACTTATCTCCCTAACCCCTCTCTTAGACCTTTTCGTATGGAGGCTGCCTGGTTTCTAGACAACAGATTTAAATCTTTAGTCCAAGAATCCTGGCTAGAATCTAACAATTCTATTCTTGAAGCTATCCCTTGTATCTCTTATATGGCCTCTTCTTGGAATAAATATGTTTTTGGAAATATTTTCTGTAACAAGAGATGGCTTTTGGGTAGAATTGAAGGTCTTCAAAAGGCCCAGTCTAGCAAGTTTTCTCATAATCTTTTTATCCTTGAAAAAGAGCTTCTGAAAGAGTATAATGATATTTTGTATCAAGAAGAGCTTCATTGGTTTCAAAAGTCCAGAGCTAATTGGATAACAATGGGAGAAAGAAATACCAGGTTCTTCCATGTTTCCACTCTAGCTAAAAGAAGAAACTCAAGGGTGATTACCCTTAAGAATGAGGGTGGTTGCTGGGTTTTGAATCCTGATGACCTTAAAAAGCATGTGGGTGATCATTTTGAGGGGATGTTCACTTCTCCTTCCTCTGTGGAAGGGGAGGTGTGGAACTATGGTACTACCTCTAATTTCTCGCATGATGAGAATATTGATCTTTGTAGACCTCTTTCCAGTGAGGAGATTTGGACAGCCATGAAATCTATTAAAGGTTTCAAAGCCCCTGGGTGTGATGGTATTCAAGCTATTTTTTACCATTCCTTTTAGGATATTGTGGGTTTTTCTGTATGTAACTTTATCAAGTCTTGTTTTAGTTCTTGTGGTATACCTTCAGAAATAAACAAAACCCTGATTACCCTTATTCCTAAAGTTGAAAACCCCAAAACCATTAAACATTTCAGACCTATAAGTTTGTGTAATGTACTTTTTAAAACCCTCACCAAAGTCATTGTGAATAGGCTTTGACGCCTCCTTGATAAAATTATTAGTCCAAACCAGAGCAGCTTTGCTCTTGGCAGGCCCACTAATGACAATATCATCATTGCCCAAGAAATTATCCATACTCTTAGATCTAAGAAAGGAACTAAAGGTGAGATGATTTTTAAAATTGACTTGGAGAAAGCCTATGATAATGTGTCATGGACTTTCCTTCGGGATACCTTATTGGAGGTAAATCTGAATATGAGTTGGGTGAAGTTGATTATGAATTGTGTTACAACTGTGAATTCCACCATTCTTTGGAATGGGGAACAGGTCCGGGATTTTCATCCACGGAAAGGCCTCCGCCAGGGAGATCCCCTATCCCCCTATCTCTTTGTGTTATGTATGGAGAGGCTCTCTAACTAGATTCTTGACAGAGTCAATTGTGGCCAGTGGAAGGTTATCAAAGCATCTATAAGAGGCCCTGAAATCTCTCACTTATTTTTTGCTGATGATCTGTTATTATTTGCAAAAGTAGATACTAAAAATTGCGAGACCATTATGGAGGTTCTTAACTACTTTAGTACTCATTCTGGTTTGAAAGTGAACTTGGCTAAGTCTAAATTATTTATCTCTTTAAATGTGTGTAATTCTAGGGCCAGGAACTTGAGTGTTTTAAGTGGTATCAATGTCACCCAAGATTTGGGAAATTATCTTAGGATACCTATGCTTCATAAGAAAGTTAACAGAGCTCATTTTTTTTTTTCTATTTTTGATAATCTTCAAGGGAAGCTATCGAGTTGGAAAGCTAATATGCTGTCTTTGGCAGGTAGAGCCAGCCTTATAAAATCGGTGACTGCTGCTCTACCTGCATATACCATGCAAACAATGAAGCTACCTGTTAACGTGTGTAATGACTTGGACAGAGTCAACTGAAACTTTCTTTGGGGAGAGGTGGGAAATTCTAAAAAAATTCGCTTGGTCAAGTGGAACACTGTGTGTAAAAGCATGAAAATGGGAGGTCTGGGTTTAGAAAGGCTAAGCATAACAACACTGCTTTACTTTCTAAGTTGGGTTGGAAGTTACTCAAAGGTGATAAATGTCTGTAGACTGAAGTGCTTAAGGCTAAATACCTCCAAGAGGGGTCTCTTCTTGACTATTCGAACAAGAGAAGAGCTGCTCACACTTGGAAAGGTATCCTTAGTACTAGAGAGACTCTTGTTAAAGGTAGTAAGTGGTGTGTTGGGGATGGAACTCAAATCTCCATCTGGTTTGATTGGTGGTGTGGAGAGAGTAATTTAGCATCACTCTTTCTACTCATTAATTCTGAAACTATCAATCTTCTTTTAGATGAGGAAGGTGGTTGGGATATCTTTAAGTTGAACTCTAAGCTTCCTAGAGAAGTTGTTGCCTTGCTCTAAAAGTTCATTTTCCATGATTTATTACATATCCAGATACTCCTCATTGGCATGGTTCTGGTTCTGGTGACTTTTCAACGGCTTCAGCTTATGAGATGGTGGCCACTCATGAGGCTAAAAATTATAATTGGCTTTGGTTGTGGAAGTTGAAACTACCCCAAAAAATCAAGGGCTTTATGTGGCTTGTCTTGCACGGCAAGTTACTCTCGAACAGTCTAAGAATCAAGAAAGGTCTTACTGACATTGCTGAGTGTAGTAGATGTGGTTGTCAATGGGAAGATATTTATCATATTTTTAGAGATTGCCCTAAAGCAGTCATTATCTGGAGTAGTATGGGTTGTTTGGAGTGGTTGTCTAGGGATCGTTATATCCCGTTGACAATTTGGTTGGAATCAAATCTTAAAAACAAACCTTCTTCTATTTTGGATCCTATTCTTTTTACTGTTATTCTTTGGCAAATTTGGAAAGACCGCAACAAAAAAGTTTTTGATAATGTTGAACTCCATTGGCATCAAAGTATTTTACTTTCATGTAAATATGCTTCTGCTATCGACGAAGCATTTAGATCTTCTGTTTTACATCCTAGTCTCTATGATGTGGTTATTGTGATGACTAAGTATGTCTCTAGTTTCGTCTCTCTCTCTCTCTCTCTCTCTCTCTCTCTCTCTCTCTCTCTCGTTTAACCTTGAGTTTACCCTAATAGAGTGTCGGGTTAATTGGGAGCCTTGTTGAGTATTTGGGGTTTGTGTTGTCCGGAGGGTGTATCTCAATGTAATTCCTATTTTCGTTTTTTTATTCGGTGTTTAAGTTTCTTTCTTCCGAGAAGTGCGGGGTCAGGTCTGGAGCGCCCGAGAAGTGAGACAAAAATTTCTGGGCTATTGGGCCAGGGCCACACGTGCAGTGAATGTTGGGCAGCAGGGGTTTGCATACTGTCTAAAAAGCTCGTGCAAAGCGAGGTGCGGAAAGGGGGCACCGCATGTGTAGTGGTAAAGGCTGCACGTGCGGAAGAGGCACACCGCACGTGCTGGGAGGGGCGCCGCACGTGCGGCCAACTGGGCAGCCCGAAACTCTGTTTTTCTTTCTCTTTTTGGTCGAACATAAAACACATTTGGGGCTTTTCTATCTCACTCTAAACTCTATTTTTCTCCTCATTCTCTCTAGAAAGCCTCCTCAAACACTAAAAACTCTTTAATTCTTGCAATCCTTGGGTTTAGATTATCATCATCTCTCTCAATCTTGAAGATCTAGGGCAAGAGCTTCACTTGGTGTAGTAGAAAACAAGCTCTCTCTCTCTCTTCCTTGAAGTTAGGGTTTTATCTCCTTTCCTTCATCAAACTTTGAGGTAAGGTTTCCTTTGAGTTATATATATATATTTATGTAAGTTTTTGGTTGATTTTGTGAGCTCCTCCTTGTATTTCGAAAATGGGGCTTTGGCTCAAGAAATTGTTGATTTTGTTTGAAAGAAAACTCATCCTAAACCTATTTAAAAGAAGATTTTGGGAAATGTTGAGCCATAAGGGTTGAGATTGAGGTATATAGTGGGATTTCAAAGTGAAGATGAGGAAATGTTGAGATTTTGTGAAAACCTAGGAAATTTGGGGGTTTTCTTGAATAAAATAGATGGTGGACTCATATGATAATATACATATGTAGATATATAAATATGTGTTTATCGATGTATTGTGTGTGCCATGATAGACAAAGAGAATGAAAAATGTGTAATGGTATGCAAATGAAAAATATATAAATACATGGATTGAAGAAATTCTTGGCATGTGAAAGATTTTGGGTCATGAAAGTGACATCTATTTATTGCTATAGCTTGAAATGGATAAAATGTTGAACAAGTACAAAGTGTGGTTTTGTTGTTGCACATGGGCATTTGATGGTAAACTTTTGGCTATTGATGGAATGACATGGAAAGGAGAAAAGGGAAATTATGAACCTCCAGGGAAGGTTAATTGTAATTATAATCAACGTAAAGAAGTATGAAATAGCATGGTTAATTATTGCATTGGCATTATGAACATCTTGCATAGAATGAAAATTGTTTTGAAAATTGAAACCTTCATTAAGAATGATATGTGGTGATTGAACTTATGGAAATATTATGGGGTAAATACGTTCGTAAGTCCGGTTAGGAGGTGTAGATGAATTTGATAAGTTGGTCTGAGTGTCCGGGGTGAAAGACCGAAAACACACACGTAGGAGGTACCACTTCCCTTCCGGTTAGCAACCGGTAAAGTGGGGTTCTTGGTAGTGCTTGTTCAGCGTACTTGCATACACCAACCTAGGGATTACCTAAGTCTTATTTACTGCCCCTTATGATTTAAAATTGGAAGTTTTGAAATTGATGAGATTGCAAAATGTTATTGAAAACATGGTGATTATCAAGGAAAGCATGGAATGTGATTATTTTGAAAAGGCATTGCATGGCATTTAGTATTGGATACCTTGTATAAATGTATATACTTTGTTGAGGTTTCTCTACTGGGCTTCTTGCTTACCCCTATGGGATTTTGGTACAGGTAAAGATGTGGTGATCTCGCCGAATTGATGGCGTGGATAGTTTTGTGAAGAGTGGATTACTCTCTT